TTTTGAATTTATCATTATTAATTACAAAATTAGTATATATAAAAAGCTTAGTTTTAAATTTAATTTGAGAGAAAACTATTTTGTAAGGTCTTGTGGATCCGTGTAGATTCTGAATCTACATACTCAAAAACATATATTCTAGCATTCAGTTTTGCAAAAAAAAAAAAATTTTTATAGATCATTGAAGTTTACGAATTTCCTATTTAAAATGATCGGCATGATCGGCAGAATATTCTGGAATTAATTCCAAATTTGGAAATACCCCTGACTGTTTTCCAGGCCATTATGACCTAATAATTATTTTTTTTATAAATACGAGCTAGAAATCCTTAAACAACTCAACATTCCACGCTCGCCCTTATTATATTTGCATACATACTCCTCAGAAATCTTTCTTAAACCCCTTCGTGATATTTTTACTTTCATCATTTTAACATTTTATATTTCATATTTATTTGTAACTTCGTTTATTTTTAATTCTGATCTTATTATTTTAATTTTTTCGTTATTGTTGGTAATTGCAGAATTTTAATTAATTAGAGTTTAATGATTAGCATTTACTTAGTTTAATATATTGACATTATGAAAGTGTAGAGAGTTGACATTGAAGCAACACTGATTAATTCGATATTACTAAATAAATATATTATTTCATTTTTACTCAATAAAATCTTCTGCTTACATTACAAATTTGTTTATAAATATATAAACGAAATAAACTAAAAACAACAATATTAAATCAAGTAAATAATTGAGTTCTCATTAATTCAAATGCATTTATGGTTGTTATGACTAATTGTTCTAAATAATTTAATAATAACTCCATAATGTTTAGCAATTTCCTATGGATTATATTTTAATTCTTTTTTGCTTATCTTTGTACAACAAGTTTATTTTGTTAATAAAATCTTGTTTCATAATTTCCATAAATTTTCTTTTATTTCGTGCATAGCCACATCCTATAAAATTCTTTGACATTTTATGAAGTCCTCCTATTGGAATACCAAATTAGAATGTAGCGTATTAAAAAAATCTCTAACGATCTTTTTACAAATGCAAATTTATAGCAGATATCATTTTAACTTATGTCACAGGATATCATTATATTTAAAAACTTTGCATATAAAAATAAAGTGCTGACCCTCATGTATTATTTTAAGAATTAAAATTTCTGAATATGTAAATTTGTTTAATGAATAATAATTTTCTTCCTTGGAAGATATATGGTAAAATTTTTTTTTTGAGAGTTCAAATCGCTGTGCCATAATTAAATAGAACCTTAGGATCAAAACTCGAGAATCGATTTAAAATTGATTCTACTTTTTTTGAATTGATTCTAATTCTTAATATGATTTTAAATGAACTAGTCTTATTATCGTATAAATTTAGTATTACATATTAGCTTCTTAAATAAATTATTAACAACTTTAACGTATAAACTCTGGACATATTAAGTTAATTCATACTGTGTAAATTTTTAATAGAAAAATTTAAGTTAAAATTTACAATTGTTGAACTTTATTTTTTATTTGCCTGAGCTTCGGATTTTATCTTCATTAAAAAAGAAAATTTTTTATTCTTATATAAAATTTTGTCTTTAATTAAACTTAATCAAAAAGGTAGATCAGTCAGATTTAAATTTATTCTGATTAAATTTTTTTGAGCTTTTAGATCGAATGCGAACAATAAATAACCAATCAAAAAAAAATAAATAATTTTGAGAAATTGTCTTTTCTTATACTTTCAAATATACCTTTTTTATACGTATTTTTTAAACTTATCTTCTCAGCAAACTCAAATCATTCGAAGGCTTAAAACAGTTAAAAGATGTATAAACCTATATTGCAAAGACATTAACACTAGAATAAAGACCTTTAGAACTAGCACCTTTAGTGCAAAGAAATTTAGCACAACTTTTAAAATTAGTATCTTTAACACAAAGACCTTTAGCACTAAATTCTATACTTCTACAAAGTCAAAAGTCCAGTTTTAAAATAACAACTAATCCAAATAATATTTTAATGGTTATAACTTGCTGTAATTCTTTGCGTTTATGCGATATTTAAAAGAAATATATAAAAAGCTTGACCTAAATTTTAATCTAAAGCAGTTCATTACGCAATCTAAAATAAAAAAATTTTATTGGATAAATTTTGTATAATACAAATCAATTGAAAAATTTGACTGATCAATTTTGAATAGGGCTAGTAACACTGTAAGACTATTCGATAATAAAATATATCAAAATTGAGATCAGTCACAACAGCTTAGTCATTTGAAAATAGAGACGTTGTTCTGTTTTTTTTTTACAAGCCTTTGATTTGAGAAAAATAACATGCGTATAATTACCAATGAAAACCTTTATAATAAGCTTAACAAAGAAATTAATTCCTTGAAAAGATCAATATTCTCAATAATCAACTATAGATTTAAAAACAATGAATATAAACAAACAAAGAATAGAAAAATTATATATAAGTTTTGAATCTTTAATCAATGTTATTTATTTGAGTCAAATGCTTTAAAAAACTTCTTTTTTGCATTTATTTATTATAAACTTTTTCTAAATTGAAGTAATGTAATCCCTTCTAAAATTTTAGAGCAAGAAAAAACTTTAAAGAAATAAATTAGCGATCTAATAGAATTTACATATAATTAATAGTTACATTAAAGTCGCTTTTATAATGTTTATTAAATAAATTACCTCTCATCGTTAATGATATTTATTAGTAAAGTTTGCAATTTTACAATTTTTATATAATTTTTATATTGAATTACCTAATTTAATCAGAATCCTGATTCAATATACATCAGAAGAGCATAGTGGGCTTAAGCCTGATTGGTTGATTTTCAAAATTATCGTTATATAAGGCCTGTTTATTTCCAGTCAGTCAGTTTTTCAGTCAGTTTTGTCCTACCTAAATTTGACGAATAAAATTATCTTATTTAAGTTTGTAATTTAAGCTATAATAGTTTGTAATTAAGTTCAACCTCGCATAAATAACGAATAATAATTCTTTAAATTGTATAATGTTGAATGAGTACTAGTTTGTACAATTTATCATGTTTTCTAATAAGAAAGAGTTACAAGAAGTATTAGAAAG